TTTGTGGTTTATCTCTTCTCCTATCTATGTATTTATCTTTTGTTGGGTTTTGTATGTATATTTACTTTGAACTTATGTATATTTGTCGCCCATGACATTATATTAAACTTGCTTTACAAATCTTTGTGGATGGTTGTCTTAGGTTTTTGCTTTGTGCTAGGGATTTCAGTTGTTATAGACATATACTGCTTAGATTCTTATCTAGGATGATCATCTATTAGTTTCTAAACTCTAGAGAGAGATTTAGAGCTGACATCTACTTGGGTACCAGAGCTTAATGCCTCTGTGCAGTTGTGATATGCTGAGAGATCGTCAGTGCGATTACATATTTGTCTTCTATGTTGTCGAGGAGGTAGAGAAATCATTTATTTGGTGATACACCTGGTCTCTCAATTTCGGTTAGAAATGACTTAGGTTATGAGTGACACGTAGTGGCATTGATGACTATTGTTAGATTGAATGTAACTGGTCGATAGATTCAAGTATGTGATGAGTAGATTATATACAGACTTGATAAGTTCTTCCTTAGTTTTTTCTTTTGTTTACATTTATTTTCTGTTGATGACATTTTCTTTACATACAAAACTATTCTATCCCAAACTCATTAACAAATTAATTATCGAATGATAATTCAATAACCAATCTCTGTGGACACGATAAATTCCTGGGTAAATATTTCCAAAACTTCTGTTGCTTGCCGCTATAGCGCTCCAACAAAATGGCGCCGTTGTTGGGGGTTGGTGTTTTTATTGGATCATATTGTGACAGTTTCTTTGTTTTTGAGTTTTGTAATTAATGTTTATGTTGTATAGAAATTGTAAATGAACTTTTTTATGTTTAATTGTACATTTGTTTGTATATGTTTACCAAACTTGTAAATTGTACATATTTTACATACTTGTGAATATAGTGTAAATATTTGTTTCTTTTCACATTTGCCAAAAGTGTGGTTAGATGTGTAGTTCCGGTTATAGCTTGAAGAGATGAGAGCAAAGGCGAGAGTGAAGCATTTGGCTCATTCAAAGAAACGTGTGAGTTGTAAATATCAGGCGTCGAGCTTACGACGTAAAACAAGCATGTTTTTATCATTTTCTATTTTATTAGTTTAGGTAGTGTGTTGATTTTGTTTAAACAAGTTGAAATTGGAGTTGTTCTAAATTCGTATATCTTCTCTTTTCAACTTGTTTATTTCACTTTCATTTGTTTGATTTCGTTGTTGTTGTTTGGACTTGAATTTTCGTCCGATGTCTTGAGGAATTTAGAGGCAATTTTCCAAGTCTGAATGTTTCAACTTGCGGACGTACGGTAATGATAGTGTTTTGAAGTTGGTACACGCCATGTACTCAATTATCGCTTTCTAAAATATAGCATGTTTAAAAGGCTTTCCTTTTGTACAATTTTCATGTCATTCATTTTTTTTGCAAATTGTGTTCACTTTTGAATCACTTTAGAACTAAACCCCTTGTGAGGTTGCTTTTCATTATTTACTATATGCACGGGAGACCGACAATTTTGTCTTAACTCAATTTTATTATGTTTAATCTTGCATTTATTTTGATTCGTATGAAATCATGATACTATCAAGACATTTTTGTTTCATTTTGAACACAACTACCTAGCCAAATAGTTAATTCACCTTGTGAGTGTATGATCATTAGTAACCCCTTTGAGCTTTTTATCGATATCCATGTTGTATTTGCTAAATTCTTGTCTATGAGTGTTTAGTTCCCCTTTTTGCATGAATGTTGATTTATTATTTTCTTGAACCCTCAACCATTGTTTTAGTTTGAATTTTTACCTTGCCTTAGAAAGTATGAAGTATTCACTAAGATGTTGGTTGAATTCAAGTTGAGGAGAAAAATGATTGTGTATTTATTGGTTGATTGCTATGAGGTTGAAAATAAAAAAAAAAGTGAAAAAAAAGTGATAGAAAAAGAAAGAAAAAAAATATAAAAGCTTTGAAAAAGAAAAACAAAAAGAGTTCGAATAATTGTGTGAATAAGTATGGTGCTTTGGTGTGAAATTTGGGATTCGGAAGAAGTTTAATTGGAATTTTGTGTTTGAATCTTTGGTGAATTGATCACTCCCTTAGATTTAGGCAAGTTTTTTTTTTCCGATTAGCCTTAGGAATTATCCCTTGTTTGTTCACCCGACCAAGTTTCAACCTTTGAAGCCCTTGTAATTTTGATTTTTTTCTTTTCAATATGAATTTGCTTTGATGAATGCAGAATTTAGTTGTTGTTAGCAAGATTATTGGGTGAGAGTTGAGCACCTCATGTTTGTTTTTTTCATCTACCGATAAAGTGTGTGCTAGGTGTGATTCACTTGTGAATATTGTATTATTTTAGAATTGTTGACACGTGCTTTGTATTTAGGAGTTGTTTCATTTTCATGTTATCGTTGTAGTTTAGTGGTAAGTGTTTACTTTGTGTGTACTATTTTTTATTTGAACTGTTGTATTTGTTTTCCGTTTTAAAAACCTGTTGATTCGTGATTCTTTGATTATTAATTTTTTTTGTTCTTTGAGTTGTTTGGCCTTGTTTGAGGACAAACAATGATTCAAGTTGGAGAGAGTTTGATAAGTGAAAAAGTGTAGTTATTTTGTATATATTTTTTGTTGCACTTATCGACTATTTGTTGTTAATATCAGTTGAATAACCCAACTTTATGTATAAATATGTTTAGTTTGTGAATAATGCATTTTCTTGTATAAAATGTATCATTTGATAGTTTTGTATTCATTTTGTAGGTATTTGAGCATTGTTGGAGCAAGAGGAATAAAGCTCCAAGATGCATTTTGATCAATGAAGAATAAGGCTAAAGATTGGAGCCAATTATAAGTTATGCGGAAAAGCAACAAAAGTTGCTGGACTGTCATGGATCATAGGGCGATATAAGCCGTCGCCGGGCAAAATTTAAAGGCCATTTTTGATGAAGTCTCTGACTTGTGCCACGTCTGTGTCGCCAGGAGAAATTAAGGAGTGTCGTCGGACGATGAATTGTGGCCGCCGGGCGCCGGTAGATATTTGTTACAATTGAGGACATGGCTTATTCTGAGCCAAGTGTATAAGGACCATCGCCGGGCGACGGTTGCGGATCATAATTTTGCTTATATTTTCATTTCTTGTTATTTTGGAGAGTGGTGGTTTTGGGGGTGAATTTTTGTCTCCCAACTCCATCAACCTCATTTTTATAGTGGATCAGCTTAGATAACAACACTAGGGCTTGCGTACGAATGATTCAGAGTGGATTGCTCGTCGACCGACTCTGACAAATCTGAAGATTTGTGGTTTATTTCTTCTCCTCTCTCTATGTATTTCTCTCTTGTTAGGTTTTGTATGTATATTTACTTTGAACTTATGTATATTTGTCGCCCATGACATTATATTAAATCTACTTTACAAATCTTTATGGATGATTGTCTTAGATTTTTGCTCTGTGCTAGGGATTTGAGTTGTTATAAACATATACTGCTTAGATTCTTATCTAGGATGATTATCTGTTAGCTTCTGAACTCTAAAGAAAGATTTAGAGCTGACATCTACTTGGGTATCCGAGCTTAATGCCTCTGTGTGGTTGTGCTATGCTGAGAGATCGTCAGCGCGATTACATAGTTGTCTTCTGTGTTGTTGAGGAGGTAGATAGATCATTTCCTTGGTGATACAGTGGGTCTCTCAATTTTGGTTAGAAATGACTTAGGTTATGAGTGATACGTAGTGACATTGATGAGTATTGTTAGGTTGAATGTAACTGGTCGATAGATTTAAGTCTGTGATGAGTAGATTATATGCAGGCTTGATAAGTTCTTCCTTAGTTTTTCTTTTGTTTACATTTATTTTCTGTTGATAACATTTTCTTTACATACAAAACCATTCTATCCCAAACTCATTAACGAATGAATTGTCGAACGATAATTCAATAACCAATCTATGTGGACACGATAAATTCCCGGATAAAGATTTCCAAAATTTTTGTTGCTTGCCACTATAACGCTCCAACAAAATGACACCGTTGTCGGGGATTGATGTTTTTATTGGATCGCATTGCGATAGTTTCTTTGTTTTTGAGTTTTGTAATCAATGTATATGTTGTATAGAAATTGTAAATGAACTTGTTTATGTTTAATTGTACATTGTGATAAGTAGTGTGTGTCATGCCTTACTATCACAGTTTCACGACCGTGATGGAAAGTACCAGACATACAATCACCCATTGCCTTATAACAGTTGGTCAGACGTTGTGATATCTCTTTTCCAATGGTTGTAGTATGACTTTCTATAATAGTGTATATTGTAATTTTAAATATTCTCATAATGTTTATAAAATATCATGTGTTTTTAGTTATTTTGTAGACGAACACTTATCTTTTAATGTTTTTCTACAATATCTATTTTGTTTTTTCAGAAATATTAAAATTAAAATTAGATACATATAATGTAGGATTTTATTTAAACTAATATTTCATATATAATTACATTTTTCAAATTAATATCATGTTGATTTAATTAAGTTATAGTAATAATAATTAATATATATTTATATTTATGTATTAGTTGAATTAAATGAATATAAATAAAAAATTCAGGTATTAAAGTAAAGATAGTTAGAAGCCACACCCTAAGAATTAGATGTTGTAGAATTATAAACTAAGCTGGATTATCGGAACGGATAAACATTCTGATTTTACCATCTACAAGCTTGGCACTCCTCTTCCCATGTCAAAATAGTAAAATGTTATGGTTGAATATTATGCAAAACGAGAAAATATATTCTAAAAATAAATAATAATAATGGGAGAGAAGCAAGTGTGTAAGCCACTAGCTGGAGTGGTGAGTTTATCCTGTTAACATTTGCAATTGCAAAGAACGCGAGGGAACTCTCCACCTCCCACAAGAACACCAAACAAAAAACGATGTTGAACTATAAATAAATCATTGATTTGTGGCTTTTGACTTTTCAGAAATTTTTATTATAATTTAATTTTAAAACATACTAGAGCTATGGCTTCTTCACTGTCCAACTTAAAAACACCACTTTACTTTCAGTGTTTCCGAAACCCTTTCTCTTTCCGCTCTAGTTCTCGATTCATTCCATCACTTTCCAATAAGCCATGGCTGTTTCATTCTAGTTTCTCTTCCCTCAAAGCTGCTTCTGGTTCTGCTGACAATTTCCTCCAAAAGCCTGTTCCTTCTCAAGGGAAAGGAATTACTCAGGAACAGAGTTCTTGCTATGATGAACAAGAGGAGCAAAATCATAGTACTCAAGATGAAGTTAAGTGGATTGATTGGGAAGATCGGATTTTAGAAGATACGGTTCCTTTGGTTGGATTTGTTAGAATGATTCTTCATTCTGGAATGTAAGTTTTTACTCCAATTAATTATATGGATAATCATTTTTTTTTTATTGATTTGTTGTTGAATTTATTGACAATTATATTGGCACTTAAACTTATAATGATTTAGGTTGATTATTCAATGCATTTTTTATTTGGATGTTTGAACTTATAGACCCCATTACAGCTCAGTGCATGTGTAGGATTCAATGCACAAATATATTGCTACAAACAATAAACACAAGAGAGAGTACTTACATATGGCATGAGCGCTTAACTGGTTAAAATCCTTTCATTAGAAAACTATTAATATTGTACTAAAAGTAATATTAGGAAAAGCCTTTTCTTCAAGAATAATGTAAAGGTTGTTTGTCAGAGTGAAAGAGGGAAAGAGATATATACCATTACATAATTGATTCCACATCCAATCTCTTTTAGAGATTCTGGGTGAAATTGAAGCAACTTCTCAAGAATAGTTTTCTCGCACTGAACTTAGTCTATCTCCATTTTAATGTCTAGTGCATGAGGGGAAATAGATATGAAAATGAAGATAGACCAAGTCCAGAGCATGAGAAAATTATTTTCGAGAAGCTGCTTCCATTTCACCTAGAATCTCGTGAAAAGATTCCATGTAGAATCAATTATATAACGGTATATCTCTCTTTTCCTCTATGACAAAAGGCTTTTTTGGGTTTAGCAATCTATCAGATTAACCATAACGTCAATTGTTGTCTACTGAAAACCAAATGACCTCTTCTTGGTGATCATGACTTTGTGTTAGGTGACAGATGAGTCGTTTTGTTTTGGCCCAAACATGTGTTTGGGTTTGAAGTACCTTGCCATTATCAATATTGCACAGGTTGTCCGTAATACCTGTGCAATATAAAAATGCCGAGGCAAGGGAGGGGTTTTATTGGTGGTCCAAGTAGCACCACTGCAATGGGTTCCGGGCAAGTAAGGCACTCCTTTCTCTATGGTTTTATGTACACAAAAATCGATGAAGTAAAGATGGGAAAGAACAAATTAAACTCGATAAAACTTATTAGTAATCAGCCTCTGTATGTAAGAATTATTTATTAGTTGTGAAGAAAATTACATTCACACTTATTTTTATGGAGGTTCTGTGTTCATTTATCTTGTAATTTTTTATAATACCTTGTTGTGACTTCATGCACCAGGTATGAAAACGGAGATAGAATAAATTCAGAGCATGAGAAAACTATTGTTGAGAAGTTACTTCAATATCATCCAAATTCTGACAAAAAGATTGGTTGTGGAATCGACTATATAACGGTATATCTCTCTTTCCATCACAAATAGCATGTACAGTATTCCACCGACAAAAGGCTTTTCTGATATTACTGTTGAGTACAATAGAAATAATCTCTTTTGGATTTAGCAATCTATCGGATTAATCACATCCTCAGTAGTTGTCTTCGCTTGGCAAAATGCACCATGCACTTTAGAGGACTCTAATCTTGTACAATATTAACGCTAGGAGTTAGTTTTTATTAAATTGAAGAGTGCTATCTGATTGCTATCAACTTATAAAAACTTATGCTATTGATCTGCTCAACAGTTATCCGCTCCACACTTCACTTAGGCAAAATGCACCGTGTACTTTACACACTACCTGGTTTGCTAAACCTTAATAATGAAGTAGATGATACACATTGTTCCCAGCTTTGCAGTCTATGAGCCTCTGACATGGATGGGTTTTTTTAAGGATTCTCATTCTGAAATTATCTTCTGTTTCCCCTTTCTATGTAGCCTATTCCTCGGGTTTCCTTGCCATTTAATTAAGATTTAAGGTAATTTTTTCCCTTTCTGCTATAAATTTTGACTGATTGTGCTATATTAGTCTTCACCCCAAGGGGATGCATTTCAATTAAAAAAAGAGTGATCTACCATAGCCCATTTCAAGTGGAATGCTATGGCAGTTGTCTGGTTACTTGGGCTATACTGCTATCCATCCCAATGGGGGGAATCAGGCGGAGCTCTGGGCTACTAGGAATTGAAATATGGTCAGTAGGTCTCTAAAACGTGATTTAGCTCTTTCCACTCACAATTGTAAGATCTCAGACACTCATTATTATTGATTCACAAGTACAAGCTCCTTCTACCCTGTGCTATTCTACTCCTTACTGCATTGGGAATAGAATAAGCCGAGGCAAAATAACTGGCTAAGAGGCATCATATTTGCTCCACTAGAAAATGAAGCAAGGTGCCAGCCTGCCACAAAAGAAAATCATTCACTTGTCATTTTGACCCAGTAAAAGGATTGTGCGAATTTGAGAAGTGTGACTGAATCCTGAGGCCTCCTCTGGTCCAGGATGGATGAAACTCCAAGAGTAGTCACGGAATCCACATGGATGTGGCCAACGGCACTTGTTTGAAGATATGAAAATATCTAAAACATTTTGATAATATGTTAGACTATCTTCATTTATCTCCTAGGATTAGTTTCTTTATATAATTACAATCTGGAGTCTTGTATTAGTATAGATACAGGTTAGTCCTTAGACTTTTCCCATCAAAACCATAATCGTCAATCATATCAAATCATAATTTAAAGTATTCGTTCTTTTAGTTTGGTTTGTGTTTTGAAGCTCTATCTATCTAGCATGTTTAGGTTATTTCTAAACCATGCCATCTATCTAGTGTGTTCAGAATCACTTTGTTGTGTCATTTTTCTAGCATGTTTAGAATCTCTGCTCTGCTGTATCATCTTTCCAGGGTGTTTGAGATCTATCAGTTTAAGTTTTGCACCGTTGTCTCAAATGCATTTCGCACTTTTTATTGTTGTCTCAAATGCATTTTTGCACTGTTTTTGTCTCAGGTGCAGTTTTCTCTTGGTTATGATTAGGCACCATTGTTTTTATCCCAATTATGGTCTGGCCCCAACGTTTTCTAACTGAAATTCGGCCCCCTCTCTTGTTCTTGACATGATTTGGCCTTGCCATCTTCACTATCAAATGTATGATTTGTTTATTTTTCTCTTTCAAATAATACGTCTATAACAACCTTAAGCTTGGTAAGCTTTAACTCGAGGGAGAGTGTTTGAAGATTTGAAAATATCTTTTGATATCTTAAGATTGTGTTATTGTATTTTAGATTAACTCATATGATTAATTTCTTATTGTATAGTATCCTTAAATTATATATCTTAAGATTAGTTTCTATGTTTCTTTGTCAAGATTAGATTCTCTAACTAACTAGGATTTGGAGTCTTGTATTGGTATAAATAAGGGTTAGTGCTTGGTCTTTTTATATCAAAACATAATCATCAATCATATCAAACCATATTCCCAAGTAAAAGTCTCTGTGCTTTCTTTTCCCTCCTTATCTAAAACCCTGTAACTTTAACGACATTAATCCACCATAGTAAATTGTACGACCAACCATTCTGCTCCAAATTATGTCGGGGATGAAAATTAAGACCCTTCTCTAGATCCTCGACGATCCTTTTCGACTATAGGCTTTCCTTGACTTCCTCCACTATGGGAGAATAATCCGGCTAATAAGGTTTAGGAATAGCCTGGAGCTCAATCTCTTTGCCGTTCCTCAGAAACCAAGTCAGCCATCTTATAAGAATAGCCAACCTGGTACGCAATGTCAAACTCAGCCCGTTAACTTACAAACCAGTTTCTCTGATTGGTATAGTAGTCTCAATCTGTTTCCATCTCTCTCACAAAGACAGGACTCCCAAGTGTCATTCTCCTGTTTCACCATAAGGTGATCCAGGTTTGACTTCAATTCAATGAAGTGAAAATGCCAATGAAGTACACGTGAGGGCCGTGACAGTCCTTCAAAAATTAAATAGAAATTTGAGAATTTTCTGTGTTGACTCAAAATGTGAATCATCATTCACCCAAGCAAATATGACCGCCACACGCCAGTGTTGTATTGCTTTGACCAAGGCCATAAACTCTTTCTCATACATGATACTCCTACTTGGACAAGGAGGATTAAGGTAGCACTTTGCTGGAAATTGCTATTAGCTGCTTACCGTGAGTAATGAGTCTAATGACTGCGCCTAAACCTTGACCTGTGCATCACACTCAATGGAGAATGGTTATGAGAATTTTGGCATAGCCAATACTGGGGGTGTTGTGATAGCTTGCTACAATGCCTGAAATGTTGTCTCCGCTACCTCAGTCTACTCAAAAGCATGTTTTTCCGACAATCATTTCATAGGCTGAGCAATTTTGCCAGAATCACATACAGACCACTGATATTAACCTGTCAAGCCCAATAATCCACCATAAGGCTTTTACTGTTCATGGCACAAGCCAGCTAAGATTGGAGTTTGCTTTATGTGTGTTCATAGTAACCCCATCTTGGATACGATGTGACTGAGAGTCCGAGACAGTCACCCAACCCTTCCTCTTCCTGAAACTTCACCTTTTTAGACGTGGCTGGTAAACATTGATAGAAAACACTAGCATGGATGTGAATCACTATTTTTGGAAGTGCTTCTCCCATGTTCTTCTGTATACCAATATGTTGATAGAAAAAAGTAGCATGGGTTTCCATAGAAAGGGATGCAGGACAGCATTCATAGCACAATTAAGCACATTGAAATGTGGCTGGTAAATGGTCAATCTAATTGGTATGACAAAATTTGTGATACCCATGGTGAGTTTGGAATGCTGTTTTGGGAATTTCCATTTCATGCATTCATATTTGATGGTAACTTGCCCACAAATCAACTTTAGATCAATAACCTGTCACATGTAATATCCAATGCGACTAGTATAACAAGGATCATATACTTACCTGAAATCGTCACCTTCTGTAGTTCTCATTAGTCCATACAAAACTGCCAATTTCCATCCCTCTTTTAAACCAAAATCACTAGGCTGGAATAAGGGCTTGTGTTAGATGGTTTGAAATTTTTTTTGCCGGCCTTCGATGCTACTCCCTCTTGCTCCCTTTGCGCCGCTAAAAAACCTTAAGAGAGAGGCAGATTGGTCAATTTCAAGAGTTCTCGAGACTAGAGGTGATGATTGGCCAAATGATCATGTAATAACACCACGTTCCCACTGTAGGTGAAGGACATGCTGGTAGTGGCCTGATTTGTCACTACATTGAAATTCTAAATGAAACGTTGCCCTGCCAACAGCAGTTTGAGATTTATAATTTATAATTTTAGATGAAACATTGCCCGATTCGTCATATATTTATAAATCATAATGACTCATGCAACTTTTAACACATCGGACTTCTCTTTCAATTTAGATGTGATTTTGTAATAACTTTATGCTAGTTTTATCTATTGTTTTTTCCAGTAACGCCGTGCTCTATATTTTGTAAAAAAACTCTATCCATATCTCATGTTGTATCCATGCTTTCTAGTAGTCATTGTGGCCATTGTGTTAGCAGTAGTGCCATGCTCTCTATTTTGTAAAAAATGTCTATCCATATCTCATGCTGTATCCATGCTTTCTAGTAGTCATTGTCGCCATTTTGTTACCTTTTTCGCTTATGGCTGTGTTATACCTGTTTTGCTTTCTTGAGTAGTCTAATTGTTGACTTCTATTCTCTAACTTTCCTGTGTTGCATGTGTGTGTTTAATGAAATACACATTACTGCACTCGCTAAAATTCCATATGTTCTGGTTTTTCTTGTGAAGATTATAATGGATTTTTTATGTATCCTGTGACAGATTGGATATCATCCTGATTATGATAGCTCTAGGTGCATGTTCATAGTGCGAACAGATGGAGAGATGATTGATTTTTCATATTGGAAATGCATAAAGGGTTTGATCAGAAAGAACTATCCATTATATGCAGACAGTTTCATTCTCAGGCACTTCAGAAACCGGAGTCGTGGTTTCTCAAGTTAATATCTTCTGATTGTTGTACCATTTTAAGTTCCGTTTTTCGTGTTCTCGGACTGCTGATAGCATGGAAAATAAAAACTACAGAAATTTATGGAGTTCACTAATAATCGCCATCTGGATATTGAATCCATTCTATTATTGACACTATGTTTGCAGTGATTTAAAATTATGGGAACATAGATTTTGTATATAGACCTTGATGACAATGTTCCTTTCAGTTAATTTAAAGAAATTGAAGTTTAGTTTATTTTTAATATACCATTGCTGTTATGTCTCTTCTCCCCATTTTGTTGGCCTTTAAATTTAACATGCTGTGGTCTAATATAAAAACAGTTTTTATGCCTTTTTGAATGGTAATGTAATATAATGGAAAATGGGCTACTATAATTGACACTTACTGTCTCTCCCCTTCTTTATCAGACACCTGTATTATGTTGGTCTTTGTTGGTAGAAAAATGGGCAGGTGTCCTAATAAGTTTGGACTATTCCATAGTTGGTTGGTAGCTCAGTGACGACATAACTTGAAATAGAATACATTTATTTTTTTTAATAACATTCATGTTGATATTATCAAATTATCTCTTTGCCACTTTAGGTACTTCTACTGTTGGAGTACAAGAAAGATAAAAGACAAAAGAAATATTTACTGATAGTTTCAAAAATAAGGATTTACAATGAATTACAATAACCTACTCCACTAGACTATTTATACACACAAATTAAATTTAAAATATGTCTTCTACAAAAATATAAGAAGATCTAAGATATATATCTTCTAACAAAGATATAAACAATCTAAAAGATATTTCTAAATATAAATTAATATCAAAAATCTAAATTAATTCTAACACCATCCCTTAATTTATATTTACCCAAAACTGACAACACCAATTTCATCATTTAAACCAAGAAATTGATCAGTTTTGACAGTCTTTGTCAGAACATCTGTCAGCTGGTTCTGAGTGCTACAGTGCATAACCTCTATTATTCTATTATGAACTTGATTCCTCAGAAAATGATACTTGGTCTCAATATGCTTGCTTCTCCCATGCAACACTGGATTTTTGGCAAGATTGATTGCAGACTTGTTATCAATCATCAGCTTCAGAGGTTTATTTACCTGAATCTTCAGATCTTTCAGCAAGTTCAGAATCCACACAGCTTGACATGCACTCAAAGCACCTGTAATATATTCAGCTTCACAAGTTGACAAAGCAACACCAGATTGCTTCTTGGAACACCAAGAAATAGGGTCTCTCAGAAATTTGAATAAGTACCCAGAAGTACTTCTTCTGTCAACTCTATCTCTGCACCAATCAGAATCAGAATAACTCAGAAGTTCTGATTCGATCTTTCTTCCAGACGGAAATAACACTCCATATTTCAGAGTTCCCTTCACATACCTCAGAATCCTGACTGCAGCTCGGTAATGGGACCACTTTGGTTTGCTCATAAATCTGCTAATCATTCCAACTGCATAGCAAATATCAGGTCTGATATTACACAAATACCTTAGAGAACCAACCATCTGTTTGAAGGTTGTAGCATCCACATCCTCTCCATCAGAATTAGAATCCAACTTCTGATTCGTATCAACGGGTGTGATAACAACCTTGTAATTTTCTAGCTCAAATCTCTTCAGAAGCTCTAGTTCATAGTTCATCTGATGTAAAATGATTCCTTTCTCAGAGTACATAAATTCTATCCCTAGAAAGAAACTCATTTTTCCAAGATCTGTCATCTCAAATTCATTCATCAGAACTTTCTTAAACTCAACTATCTCTTATTCAGAACTTCCTGTAAGTAGTATGTCATCAATGTACAAACAGACCAGAATCATATTATCTTCTAAAGTATGCTGGACATAAACATCATACTCCATCTCACACTTCTAAAACCCTTGTTCATTGAAAAATGAATCAATCTTCAAGTTCCAAGCTCTGGGGGCTTGCTTCAATCCATACAATGCTTTGTGTAATTTGAACACCATCCCTTCCTGATTCTTTTTCTCAAATCCAGGAGGTTGTAAAACGTACACCTCTTCTTGTAATGGACCATTCAGAAATGCATATTTTACATCTAAATGCATCAGAGGCCAATTCATGTTAGCAGCTATTGCAATCACTAGTCTGATTGTTTCCTATCACGCTACAGGTGCAAACACTTCAAAGTAATCCAGCCTAGACTTCTGTAGAAAGCCTCTTGCTACTAATTTCGCTTTCTGTTTGCCAATTGATCCACCTAGATTTAGATTCTGCTTGAAAACCCATCTAACGCTGATGGCTTTCTTGCCTTTTGGAAGTTCTGTCAGCTTCCAAGTCTTGTTTCTCTCTATAACATCAAGTTCTTCTTTCATGGCCTGTAACCAAATTTGGTGCTTAAGAGTCTCTTTTGTACTCACGGGTTCAGAGTCTACTAACATTGCACACTGAATAACTTCTCCTTCAGAGTTTACTTCACTGTCTAGCAACATGTCAAACTCTGCAAATCTTCTTGAGATGCTTCTGACTCTTTGTTGCCTCTGAACTGGACCTTCAGAACTTTGGACACCAGAACTTTCCCCTTCATAAGCACTTGCTTCAGCAATTGGACTTTCTCCAGAACTTTACCCATCGCACACCTTCATATAACAACAACAATCTTATTACATATTAATTATATAATCATGCATAATCATTGGCATATAGCATCGAGTTATCATGTACTACATACACCAATCACACAATTCAAACATCATGTTAACAACAACGCAATGCAATGAGACCAACTCATAGACTTCATTCATGTGGTACCAATATCGCTCCGGAATCCACGCCATCTAGGACCAGAGCCACCAATATCATGAACAATTTGGTTCACGTTGCTCCCGATCCATGCCATCTAGGATCGGAACCCACAAACATCGTGAGCAACTCGATTCACATTGCTCTCGATCCATGCCATCTAGGATCGGAACCCACAAATAGGACAAAAGTCTACAACATGTAATGCATGCGACACAACAATGCAACAAAACAACACACATTGATATCTACACCCATCAATGCGACATGCCATTACGGCCACCAGTTGTTCATACATGCAATATACAATTCATACAACTCAACAATATCATATATCATTATTATAACTACACGAAGTTATCATAATACATATGTCATAATAAATTTGTCACACAACATCCAACTTATCATTCTATAAGTATTTAAACAAACATCATCTTACTCATTTGATTATATCAAAATATAGTTCATCTTGTTAGCTTTCTAATTCTTAAAATAGCACATCAAACGGAGTCCGAAAACTCAAGTTAGGACCTTTACAAAATAGCAAACTGTTATAATCGATCGAGGCTCGCCCGAAGACTGGGTCTTTAGCCTCCGACTCGCTCGGCGTAGCGTAGGCGATGCCACCCCTCCAATACATTTTCTTGGAGCACCTCTTTTTCACTCTTTCCTCCGCCCCTTATCTCGCCCGACAGACTCACACTCGCCACCTCTTCGCCCGACGAAGCTGGAGCAAAAATCCTCCTCCATACATTTTCAAGGAGTACCTCAAAATTACATGTTTTATCGCCCCGGGATCTCCCGGCGACTGGGTATTTCACTTAAGGCTCACCCGGTGAAGCGTGAAAAATAACAACTCCTCAGTTGCAATTTCTGCACCATTTCAGCCCCAAATTGCATACGAATCCATACCAGAACAGTCCCAAAACTCTCCAAATTCAACATGATTTCACAATACAACGACAACACATCATGGTAGGAATTATACATATAAAATCATGGCAAAACAATACCACACATTTCATCAATTTCACCACAAATCACCATATCATCAATTCATCATAAAACCCCAAAAAACGCTACATACATTTAAACCTCTTCAATGGTGATAAAAAAATTAAACCCCTACATACCCATCATTATACAATACCCTTAGAGATTTAGAACCCCACCCTTACCTTGGATTGACGGTTCCTAAGCCTCAATAATGGAGTCTTCTTGATCTAACTCTTTCTCACCTCCTTGCTTTCTCTTCTCTCTAAAATACGATCGTACATAATGATCACTCTCAACCTCACTTTTTCCTTATGTCCTTCTTACCCATTGGACCCTTATTAGGTTGTTCCACTCTTGCCCTCACTTATTTCACACAATATTACCGTTATGCCCTTATTACCTCTACACTAAATATTATCCCTATTTACTTATTAAAATAAATCTAAATAATTATAACTAATTATCCAATTTATTAATAATTCTAATTATCTTATTAATCCAACACTATCCCACAACATTCCATAAACCCATCTATTGTATCAAATAAACTATAATAATATAATTAAATAGCAAATATAATATTCGGGGCGTTACAACTCTCCCCCACTTAGAATATTTTTGTCCTAAAAAATTACATGATGCAAACAACTCCGGGTAAGACTCTCACATCTTACCCTCTAATTCCCACATTGCGTTCTCTTCGGAAACTCCTCCCCAAAGTAATTTCACTAGAACAATTTCCTTACCCCTCCGTTTCTTCATTTTACGATCCTCGATACTAACAGGCACAGTCTCAAAAGTGAGATTATCCCGCACTTGCATATCATCCATCAGGATCAGATGAGATGGATCTGAAATGTACTTTCAAAGTTGTGAAACATGGAACACGTCATGCAAAATCGACAGGTTAGGTGGCAAGGCCACCCTATACACAATAGTTCTCACCTTCTCAAAATTCTGACACAAATCAATAAATCAAGGAGTAAGCTTTCTCAATTTCAAAGCGCGTCAAACCGGTCATCAGAGTGACTCTCAAGAATACATGGTCTCCTTCTTGAAACTCAATATCCTTCCTTATATTATCATGGTAACTCTTTTGTCTACTCTGCGAAGTCTTCATATGATCCCGAATTAACTTCACCTTTTCTGTAGTTTGTTGAACAATATCAGGTCCAGGCACTACGCTCTCACCAGATTCATACAAAAACAAAGGTGTTCTAC